ATATTATCCTCATCGAATTTTCTGCGCAACCTATGGCTTGCTCCATAATGTCCAGCTGTCTTGAACGTTTCTTTGGTGCATTTACCTGTCTTATCATCACCTTGATGGTGTCTATTTCCTTGAATATTTGGTTTTATTCAAGAGGGATTCAGCCTGCCTCGAAACACCGAAAGCCAACTGTCCAGATATCATCAAGTGTAGTTAGAACTTCTGAAAGAAGGCAGAGCGAAATCATCCCGGGATGGTGGACTGATGTCGCGCGGTTCCAAATCGAGCGTCGTGCCATATTCGGCAAGGTACCTTCCCTTCAGCACGGGGCCGAACACGGACTAATTCGGATAGACCTGGCTCTGTGTAAGCCACCATGGACGCTTCGTGAAACCTGGAGATTATATCTCGCAAGACATCGCTGGGTTTCGATTCTTTCTTATATTGGGTAAAGACAATGTCGTGCGAGGATTTCACAATGTTTGCCGTCACCGCGCCTTTCCAGTTGCCGTCAAGGCATCTGGATCGTCAACTATACTGGGTTGCAAGTATCACGGCTGGTGTTATGACACGAAAGGCCAGCTCGTGAAGGCACCGCAGTTTGATGGTCTCGAGGGTTTTGATAAGGATTCAAACGGCCTCTATGAGATAGAAACCAAGTTAGACGAACACGGCTTCCTGTATATCAACCTGAGTGGTAGCGACGAAGGGAATGCAATTCCCTCGCCCACCAAGTCTGGCAGGCCCGGTCGAATCGACCAAAACTCCCAATTCCTGCACAGCTGTGAGTTCAAGGGCAGGTTCAACTGGAAGCTAGCAGGTAATTCATAAATTGATCTCCCGGGATTGATGCATAGCACTAACAAGAGGGCAGTGCATGAAGATCCTTGGACTGAGGTGGGAGACCTACAAGAAAGTGAGGCCACTCCTACGACTGCAATCCTGCGGTCTTTGTCGAATCGCTTCCTCACGCCCACCGGGCGGTTAATATTCTTCCCCTTGACCACGGTATACACGAAAAGCGGTAGTGGACTGTGGTATCAGATCTCGTACTCTCCAGATTCCCAAGAACAGACAACATTACGCTGCGATGTGTATTCTACCAACATCAGGAGAGCGGGAACTTTCCTTCTCGACAGTAATAAGAAGGATATTTTAGAACGACTACTCAAATCTAAAATCCAGGAGCACGAAGAGGCACACATCAGGTTCGCCAAAACGAGCCATGCTCCAGGTGACAGAATCGGCATGTCGATGCTCGATGAAACAACAAAAAAACAAGTAGCTAACTACATTTCAGATGAGCAGTCGAAAATAAATGATATGGTCGAAGCTCATCTCGAGCAGGAGAAGCTCCAGGGAGCTGAGATTCACCCCGCGGTTGTGCAACAATGCCACGGCGCGGCCTTTTCTCAGGCAGAAGGGAGTAAGTCCTATGGCATTCTAAACAAAATCTCAAGTGTGATCAAACTAAGCTGTGTGATTAGTATACAAAGCTCTTACTTGTTCGAGCGAAACTCTGGACTGGTAACTGTTCCTATGCATTCGAAATTAGATATAGGCATTTCCTATGATGGATGAGAGGACTGGCTCTACTCATATATTTGCCATTTTCAAGCTATTTTCATACTTTTTCTCATTGTCCTGGTCGCTTGAGGTAGGCCTGAAGCGACGTCATTCACTAAACTCACTCTCCTTGATAGGTCAAGGCGAGGCGAGTAAATGTAGACGAAAGTGCGCACATAGCTATTATAAGTTTAGTATTCTAATACCCACGAGACGTCGAAACAAAAACACACGCATCGCGTTGGATACGTGGCAAACACGTGTACTGTCGTCAAAACCTCTAGGCTTGAGCATGGCGGGTGAGATGAAGATGCAAGCTGAAGTTTTACCAGATTAGATGTCAACGTTATGATCATGGAAGCTGCAGGAAGTATCATTATGTAGATAGGCCACATATTGAGGATTTATGTCGATCCCAGGCTTGGATCAATAGGTGAGAGCCATCAAGATTGTTATCAATGAGGCACGATTGCCCAAGGTTCTGGAGAAATCTGACGCTATTTGGGTATCTTCACTATACAACTGTCATGTTTCCTGGCCAATGACACACGAGGCATGTGATTAACCTTCAGGCAAAGGCCAAATATATATATATATATATATCTACTTGTACATAGTGACTATTCTCTCACAGCATCTTATACTTTTACGCTGCTCAGTATATAGGGGACGTCGAAGAAGAGGTTGGCAGCTGCAATCTATCCGTTTTGTCTATGACTAGCCTATACCTAATCGATACAATTTTGGCGAAATGGGTTCTTCACGAGAGAACACAGGGCCGCCATATGACGACGCCGAAACTATAGATACAGGAACGATTTATGGAGACGACATGGAATATGCATATCAAGACGTTGTTGTGCCTATGGTCGACGGATTCGTCGTCCAACCAATTGAGGCTACCAAGGTGGACAATGAGCTTCCTTATCCTGTTGCGTGTCCCGAAAGTTACTCTTCCCAACCCAGTCGCTCACCCAACCCCTCACTACTTTACTCAGTCACTATACAGTCCCTACTCGGGACAGCTCAGGACAGCTTAGGATAGCTTAGGGGAACGGCTAACCCTGGTTTAGGATGGTTGTGTAACTTCATTCGCACCTGTCGATACCGCACGTCCTACAGTCCACATAATGAATAGTACTAGTGGTTGGTTCATAGTATTGATTCTCGTCAACGAAGTATGAGGGATCAATCCATTTATGTCAGCGTTCAGTGGAATTTCGATATTTTGGGAGAAGAAGGAATTCTACGAGAACCGAGGTCGACAACGATCTTGAGCGGCGCTTTGTGTATCCGCATATGTTCTCAAAGGCTAACCACAATCTAACAGGACCTTTCTCTTGTGAGCCTCGGGTTAGAATCCAATTTTATACAATTACACTGATATGGCTGCCTTTCCCTCTGTATCCATCCTCTCCTCCGGTAACGGCGGTTCTTCCAGTCGGGTCGGAGCAACTTGTTGAGGGTCTTCTGTTTTGTTTCTGACTCTCCATTTCATTCCTCTTTTCATTTCCACGAAATACAGAAGAGCTGAAAACGAGGCCGAGCCCCCGAAAATAGTGAAAGACCATCCAAAACCAATTCTATCGATCATATATTGGACTATCCCAGTCGCCAAGGCCGCCATAATACATCTTACTATGTTGAATGATGCTTGTGCGGTTGCTGGTGCTTCGTGGTTGATATCAGTCAGGAGAGTGTTGTTGTACTAAGATACATTGACTTAGAACCCCGGATCAGACTCACGAGGGGAGCATATCACTTACATTGAAACATGTCTGAATGCCCAATCCAGTCAAGAATTGGAGAACCATAGGAATAGAAAGATGCTTTATTCGTCAGGTCAATCCCAGCTCAACTAACATGTTGAACAGAAGCACTTACAGCATGGTAGTAGACAGCCCAACCATACCCAGTCATTGAGAACATTGCAAGGAACGTCGGCACGAAAATGCTCCTCATTCTGGCTTCTTCGATAGGGAACCTGGATAAATCATCCCCACCCACTTTATCAATAGGCAAAGCATGCTTCCTGGCCACGACCCGATAATCTCGGTCGATCAACTTCCCAGACATGAGAGTCGATACAAGACAACTAGCGCCGTAAGGAAGGTAGATTAATCCAGCTTCTAGTTCGTTTAGGCTGTAAATATCCATCAATGTCGTCGAGAGGGATGCAACGGAAGCACAGAATATCATGTAAAGCAAACCACCAGCCGTAATGATAACAGCCGTATCCGAACGAGAAAGGATAACCAGCGTCTTTAGCGGATTAGGAAACCCTTTTTTCCGGTAAATGAGGGTGGAAGGCTCAGGCGATTCTTTCTTCCATGGCCGCATAACGTTCGGAATCAAAGGCCTTGACCATTTTGGAGGTGCATTTGAACCATTACCGACGACTGATCGAGCCGTTTCCGGAAGGGTGAGAGCGATCAACACGAGGACAATGGCTGACATGATTGACAGTAGCCAAAAAATCCAACGCCAATCTGCTCTGTATGCGAGGACGCCTCCAAGAAGAGGCCCAAAACTGGGAGCTGTTGTAATGCTACTTCCTTCAGTGGGCGAATCCTTGAATTCCGGAAACAGCTCACCCAAATGATAAAGCTCCTACAAACGCACCTCGCTCTGCCGGAGTCGCGATGTCTGCAACAACGCCGTATGCAACCGAAAAGGTGCCTGGTCGTCAGAAATTGTACGTATGTCTAATGTCATGGGGCTTTCTCACCCGAGATTCCTGCACTCTGGAGCATTCTCAATAGGAGAAGTGCAACGAAAGATTTTTGAAGCGCAATTCCTACGTTTGCGCAAAAATATAAGGAAAGCGTGACCATGTAGACTGGCCGTCTCCCAAACATGTCGGCAACATCTCCGGCGATAGACGGAGCCACACCAGATATGGCAAGATATGAGGTTACTGTGAAGTTAATGCGCGTAACTGATGTATGGAGATCTTCCGACAAAATCGACAATACTGGGTAGTAGATGAAACTGCTTAGCGTCGAGAACCAGCCTGCTGCGGCGATTAATGCGACAATATACCATCGCTGGCGTTTGGAGAAAATGGTGTGTCGGGGTATGGCTGCTGGTACTGGGGATTCTGCTCTTGGCGGTGTTGCCCCCATTCTGTTGAGGGCTGATTGGGATTTGTCTTTGCAAAGAGAAGAATTGTGTCAGGTGGACAATGTGCCATCAAAGTTCAGCCATAGACGACCTATTAGCCCGTGCACGGTGAGTTGGGTAGGCATTTTACATAATATGCGCTACCAACTTCACCATGTCGTAGTACATTCATAACTAGCAATTAAATATACACGAATGAGACGGCTGCGACGTGCAGTTCCGCCGATCACCTGCAATAATTTCAGGATCCAGATCGATTTCTCCAGAGTGCTTTGTAGCATTTGGCTGATCATAATATCTTTCCCCACTGGCTGGCCCTCGTCCTATAATCCATTAGGGAACTTGTCTACAAGCACCCTCATCTCTCTTCTTGCCCTGTTTTACGTTAGAACAAGGCCATTCCACGAGGTCAGGAGACAGCATACATCTCGCGAAATTTTGTCTCGTCGGGATACAGGGCAGAGACCAGAAAATCATAGCGCCTAGAGAGTGATAAGCGTGAATCCGTGAAGTCGTGCGCTTTCCATGTACTTACAAAGCGTACAACGAGTTACGGTCATCCCAATCAGCATGCGGCTCCGACTTTCCCATGACCTTTTGATATTGTCTGAGATATGGCCTTCCAAGTCGATAACGCGGGGCACGCCAGGGGCCTAAATCTGCCTCGTTATGACCCCAAAATGCACAGGAGTCGAAAATTATGATATCTCCGGTGTCTGCATCCACCATGCAGTTACCAGGCCATAGATCGGAGTGGACGAGACAAGGCTCGATAGAGTGTCCGCCTGTTTCCAAAGGTCGAAGAAGTCTCGGGATAACCTTGTTGCAGAGGGCATCAAAGAGGCCGTCTAATTCTTCGTCTACACCTTGCGTCTGCTTCTCGAAATCATACATAGACTGCATAGCCTGCGTAAAGAATTTCTCCCATGTGTCCTGCCAGGTATTATCGTTGGGAATATTCGCAAGATGTGTCGGTACACCGAACCCGAATTTGCCCGTTGGGGACTTTCCCATGCTAGCCCTGTGAACTTTAGAGACAATGTTGACCAACTCCTTAACATCCGGTAGCTCGTCGAGCATATCTTGGAACTCGCAGACGTAAAACCATGTATCGGGGTCGTCTTTGAATTCGCCAAAAGCAATCGGTGTAGGCACGTTGTCTGGAGCGTAGGAGGCGTAGACCGAGTCGGACTCGAATGCGCCTTTCATCATACGTCGACCAGGCTCGCCAGATTCATACTATATTCACGTGTTATCAAAAGCCAAGAAAGGTCAAGCCCGACAAGTGGAGACATACCTTCATGAAGTAGGGTTTGATCTCGCCGTCCTTCAGCCTTGCGTCTATCCGGAGCGTCTTACACCACGCACTTGCCCCGGAAGGAACAACGGAGACCACCTCTGTTCCTTCTGGTAGTTCTGTAGGAGTGAGTGAGCACTGGCGGGGCGATTTGATTGAGTCAACACTTACTTGCTAGAATATTGTCATCCAGACGATCAATTTTGATGGGATTCGCTTCTCGTTCACGTCTCAGCTTTTCAGCGTATGCTTCGGCTGGGTTTGTGGACATGATTGAGGTGGCATAACAAAAGCTGATATGGGTGCAGAACTTAGATGAAGATTGACTCGGATTGAGGCAGGGGAGTCAAGCTGATACAGGACTTTTCATCGTCCAGATGTACGACCGTGCACCGCGGCGTCAGGCTGCGATATCGTAGCCGGCAATATCGGTGTGATGTGCCACTGCAGATTTGGGTACGAATGACAGTCAGATCTCAGACAGTGGGAGTGAGTGTGCAGACAATAACTATGCAACGACACGGTTGGGGGCATGCAGCCAGCGTAAAGTGTCGCGAGTGAGGTGTGCAGGTGTCGCTATGTGCTACAGCCCTGGAGGTATATGAACATAGCAGCCATCCATGCAGCGGAGGTAAGGCTGACACTCACTAGCTCATTTGAGGCTAGCCCTCCCGTTCGTTTCAACATACCCAGGTATTGACCGGATGACGTTTTGGAACCAATCAAAGGTTGCTCGCTGGCATCCATGGAATCATGGATGAAGGTGTGCCCCATTTTTCAAGATTTGGGTGCATATTCCACCTTTTCTCCTTCCAGCCCAAAAGAGCTAGACTAATACACCTTAACAAGAAATAGGTAGTCTGACTTGCTCCAACTGGAACACTAGCCTGGGAAACACGGGGACTAACAATAATCTGCCGTACTGAGATGACATCGCGGCTCGCGCGAAAAGAACGGCCTGAAAGCAGAGTATCACTTCTAAGCCCCTATATTATATTCAGGTTTTCGTTTCTAGCATTGATCTAATATGAATACAAACAAGGGAGTTTTGGTGTACTAGTTATTCCGGACCGAAGAGGTGGGGAGCCGTCCCCCACGCGAAGTGAATCCTCTCAGCCTTGTGACCGACGCTTACTTGTCTTTACATTCTAAGAAGAAATACCAAAGCCAAGCTGAATATCGACTCCTTACTCGAGCTCTGTCGAAGCGACGAGGACAAGATTGTCTAGCAACTACCATCTCATACTCTACCTTGCGCATGCTGTTGACTGGGGCTTAGCCTAGCTTGTAGGCTGCCAATTTACGGGCACTTTACTGCGATCACCCGCAAACGAGTTGGAAAAATGGCAAGTTGCCGACGCAGGCGCTCACTAGCAAATCAATATCAAGTCGTTGCTAACGGTGGCAGTAGTCCTTCCGAAAGGAACTCTGGAGGCAAAAGACCATAGAGTCGTCATCGTTCCTTCATCGCCAATTCAACGCACTCAGCCTGTTAGGTCGCCAAGGAGATGACGAGTCAGCGGAAGAAATTCGTGGGCCTTTTGGGCTCACAGGCTTACACGAACCTGCAGAGCCTCTAATCGACTTCATATTCGTACATGGTTTAAGAGGAGGGTCAAGAAAGACTTGGAGCAAGACGCCTAACCCGGCCTATTTCTGGCCAAAGGCTTGGCTACCGCTAGAGCCATAGTTTAGAAACGCCCGGACACATACGTTTGGGTACAACTCGGACTGGGGACAGACAAAAGGAAGCTGTGTGACGATACACGACTTTGGTCAAGCTTTGTTGGCAGACTTATACAACTCACCTTACACAGGCGGGCTAGATAATGACACGCCGATCGTCTTCCTCGCACATAGCATGGGCGGCCTTGTTATCAAAAAGGTTCTCATACTGGCGAAGCAAGACTCGAGCTACCACAAAATGGCGGCCCGCAGCCACAGTATGATCTTTCTTGCCACTCCCCACCGTGGTTCAGACAGCACGTCGTTACTCCGCAATATCCTTCAGCTCTCCGGGGCCTACGGTTCTAAGGCTCATCTTGAGAACCTAGTGCCAAACTCCGAAGCCATCTACGCAATTCACGACCAATTTCGGCACATCCATCAAGATGTTCAGCTATGGTCCTTCTTTGAAACGGTGAAGACTCCCATAGGCCTTATCGTCGAGAAAGATTCAGCAATCCTTGGACTTCCTGGTGAGCGGATACAGCTACTGAATGCAGATCACCGTCAAGTTTGCAAATTCGACGATCCCTCCGATAGTAACTACCGCACATTGCGGAATGCTTTCGGCGCTGTCATCTCTTCGATAGAAAGCACGTGGTTCTCCACACGGCGGGAAGAACACCAAACCGACATGAAAAAACTATCAGACTTCCTCGGTTATGTGGAACGGCCGGACGCAGATCTTTCCATGCTGTCTGACCATCAAATAGTTAGAGTATCGCCTAACGAGTCTCCAAGTTTTGTAATGGATAATGATATTGATAAGCTTCTTTCAATCATAAACATACTGAAATAATTAACTTTGCTCATCAAGTGTGCACGCCATAAGCCGATATGAGATATCGATGCCGGTCTGAATGGCTAGAAGCGATACGAGCCTTGACCGTTGTCGAAGTAGATTGCCGGCCAGCATTTGTATATCGAATGGATCAAGCTAGTGTCAAAGTCCTCGACTATTCTGTTACTGAAACAGGGTAGTAGTGCCTACTGCTGACCAA